GGCTCCTCCAGCTCCAGGGCTCTAGCATAGCTCCATGTTTCTTACAAACAGGAATGTCTCACACGGAGTGTGTGTACCCTGCCTCCAGTGAGCTATTTATCTCCTTAGTGCCTCTAAATGAGGTCATCAAGCTGAGACCTGATTGACAGGTTAAACTCCACCCCTTCACTCTTAATAGTCTCAAGTTGATGACAGATTATGTATCTACCACAGGAAGAAAGACTCTCCTAGGAGATTTCACTGGGAACCCTTACCTCATGCACCCTGCATCACTGATCTTGCCCCTTCAGACTTGTTTTTATTCCTTAAACTCCAAGATCGTTGAAAAGGAACCTGATTTGAGCCTGTGGAGGATGCCCAAACTGCTGTGTTGATGTGGTGTATATTCTTCAGGGAAGGGATACTGGGATCTTCGGAAGTGTTGTCTTCAGAAGTGTGTGTACCTCGATGGGCACGATGTCAAGAAACAATAGCTTCATGTTTTGAGACTTTTATTTTAAGAAGAGTTCTCTAATTTTGTAGCAATACTTTATGAGTTATCCTGTGTGTCATGTGTGTGTGTGTGTGTGTGTGTGTGTGTTATCAGATGCTGGGGGGAAAGACTTAGATGACAGTGTCAGATATTCAAACACAAATGATCCAACATTCTGTGTATACCAAATGCTATTCACTCACTCATTCATTCAACAAATACTACCTGCATGCCATAAAAGCAGCAGCAAAAGAAGGCCCATTTGGACTGTCTTAGTCCAAATCTAAGACAGTGATGCTATTGTAGCACAGCAGCATCTGGATCCTGTGTTTAATTCTTCAAGGGAAATACCTTGAAGAAGAGAATTAGGTGTTTCAAAAGGGCCACCAGGTACAAGTTGGTGTGAGTGCTTGAAACAGTGTGGTGAGTTAAACTGTATAATGGATATTAAGTAAGAGCTTTCATAGATTGGTGCTTTGTTCCTTGGGCAGCAGAAGTTGCAGGATTTACAGCCTTCCATGATAGGAAAGTGGATTTCAGCCAATTATTTGCCATGTGTCAGCGCTATCACTAGGTCTTAGTCATACAGTGAACAGAATGAGATTCCTCGCACAGATAGTAGCCCATAAATTCATATTCCACATGGAAGAGTGGCTCAGTGAACAACGTCTCTTGCAGCAGTGAGAACTATTGAGATCTGGATGCCTCTTAACAATACACGGGCTAACTCAAAAAGTATCGCTACCCTGAGCTCCCATCTCTCTACGAAAAGGAAAGACATCTAGGTTTAGTTGGAAAGACTGAAGCTGATTTGAACGTATCTCTACCTAGACCCGGGCTTCTGGAAGTGCCCGAGAACAAGGACACCTACTTGTGAGAGCAAGCAGAGAGTCCTATGGATAGCCTGAACTGTGGTCAACGAGGAAAGCAGAAGTTCAAAGGCAGAGAAGTAGCCTGAGATAAACAAGAGCCACCAACTGTCAACAGGAAGATAATTCAGGAGTTAAAAGTGGGAAGAACAGAAACACGCTGTGAGCCTGATTAAAGCAAAGTGGCCAGAACAATGCCTGGCAATGATGTGAACACCTCCTCTACGAGGGGTTCTGTGGGACCAAGTGGGCTTTGGCTTGAATCTGACAGGAATGGACTAGAAGTTGAAGAGTTACCTCTCTTGGTTCTATTCTGGATGCAGGAAGCTGACCCACATGTCCTCTGGATCCAGTTAAGTTCAGATAACAAGAAACCTAAATTAGAAATTGACAAGTAGGAGACTGGGATATTCCATCTCCTGCCTCCCTGAAGAGTCATCTTTAGTTTTATGTGTTTCTTGTCTAAAGTTCCCTGATCTTTTTAAGATGGCTCTGTCTGTATAGCTCTCTCTTCTGGGCCCCATTAACTGCTTCCTTCTTTCCGACTGCTGGCCCAGTGATGGGAACAGCTCCAGGGTGACTAGCCCCGGGCTATTGCACCATCTTTTGTGGTTCCTTTTTTTTTTTGCCGGTCACTGTTGTGTGCCCTGGAATCAATGCTGACTCCTAACGACACTATAAGACAGAGTGGAACTGCCCTGTAGGACTTGCTAGGCTGTCATCTTTATGGCCACCTCTCATCTGTCCATTTGCCATACCATGTTGGTCTGTGTGTTGCTATGGTACTGGAAGCTACCTCACCAGTATTTCTGATAGCAGCAAGGTCATCCAAGGTGAACAGGTGTCAGTAGAATGTCCGGAATAAGAACAGACTACAAAGAAAAGATCCCCTCACGATGGGAGACACTCAAAACAGGACTGAAAAAGAACGGGCTTCTCGAAATAGAGTTCATCTAATGGCATGGATGGAGCTAAGTCGTTGGGACTCTCATTTGCTGACGGAGCACGACTCCAGGTGAGGACAAAAGGCTAAAACATCTATGAACAATCCAAACTGAGAATGTACAAAATATGAATCCAGGAAAGTCGGATTCATCAAAAGTTAAATGGAAAGCATAAAGGTCAATATTCTCGGCATTAATTAGTGAGCTAAAATTGGCTGGTAATGGCCATTTTGAATCAGATAATCCTATGGCTTACTAGGCTGGGAATGAGAGATTGAAGAGGAACGGCATGCGTCCTTCATTACAAAAGGACAGTTCAAGGTCTCTCTTGAAGTACAATGCTGTCTGTTGGAAAATATCCACATGCATACAAGGAAATCCAGATAATACAACCATGCTTTGTAAATTTACACAGCAGCCACTAACACCAATGATGGAGTTTGTGGAATTCTACCAACTCTTCAGTATGAAATTGATCAAAGATGCCGTCCCCCCAAAAAAAGGATGGAAAAGTCACTGGAAAATATCATGTTGGTGAAGAAATGAAGTTGGAGATCACATGACAGAATTCTGCAAAAACCAGTATCTTCATCACAAATAATTTTTCAATAGCATAAACAATGACTATACATGTGGACGTCACCAGGTGGGATACACAAAAATCAAATTGACTACATATGTGGGAAGAAACAATGAAGAAGTTCAATGTCAGCAGCCAAAGCAGGGCCAACCACTGACGGTGGAACCGACCCTCAATTGCTCATATGTAAGTTCAAGTTGAAGAAAATTAAAAGCAGTGTCCAACTAAGACCTGGAGAATAAATATCCAACCTGAATTTTGAGCCCATCTCTCGGTGAGCTGCTTCAGCCCGTGTTCCCTTTGCTCCCCTTGTGCTTGCACTCTTTTGTCTGAAGAGTTATCCTTTCCTGCTGCCGATTTTGACTTTGTCCTCAAATGTGCAGGCACAGGTTGCTCTGACGCCCTCTCTGATCTCCTCTTGGGCTCCTCCTTCACTGCACCTTTGCAGAACTGACTTTCCTTTGGGGCATCTTGACTGTGGGAAGGGTGCTTGCTGAACGCCTGTGGTCTTGGGACATCAAGAGCTTTCGCAAAGCTGGGTTACCTCAAAAGAGCCATATTTAATCTTAAATAGATTATTTTTAATCATTTTATTGGGGCTTATACAACTTATCACAATCCGCACGTACATCAATTGTGTAAAGCACGTTTGTACATTCGTTGCCCTCATCATTCTCAAAACTCATTTTCCACTTGGGCTCCTGGATTCAGCTCCTCATTTTCCTCCCCCTGCCTCCCTCCCCTCTCCCCCCTCCCTCATGAACCCTTGATAATTTATAAATTATTATTCTATCTTATCTTATACTGCCCGGCGTCTCCCTTCACCCACTTTTCTGTTGCCCATCCCCCAGGGAGGAGGTTCTATGTAGCTATAGATGAGCTTTTAAGGCACACTGTGACTCTTGTGGGAAGACTGAATAATTGAGGCTCTAGACCAGTGGTTCTCAACCTTCCTGATGCTGTGACCCTTTAACACAGTTCCTCGTGTTGTGGTGACCCCCCCCAACCATAAAATTATTTTCATTGCTACTTCATAACTGTAATTTTGCTGCAGTTGTGAATCGGGTGACCCCTGTGAAAGAGTCGTTTGACCCCCAAAGGAGTAGCGACCCACAGGTTGAGAACTGCTGCAGAAGATGATGTTACCTCCATTCTTCTGAAAAGAAGGGAGAGATTGTCTGGGTGACTGTGGGCATGGCTTCTGACCCTGATATTCCAGAGAAGCTGTGCTCACTTCTAGTGTGAGGATCACTTCCATTTGATACTAAAGAAATGCACTCTGTGACCCCTTGAGTTGACTTTGAGACTGTCTTACTTCTACAGAGTTGTTACGTAGTGAAATATCTATGAATGAAATATGTCTGGGATTTGCATCACAATAATACAGGTCTGAGGGATGGGTGGGAGCAGAAAGAAACACGATTGCCCAGAGAAGATAACTCTTGAGCCAGGATGATGGAGACATGGAGGAAGATTTTACAATTGTCTCTGCTTTTGTGCAACTTTGGAATGTCTTATGTTAAAACACAAATGAATAAAGAAGGGCAGGTTATTCCTGGATTGAGGAAGGCTCCTTTACCGTTGCTTGACGCCACTGCCATCAAGCAGCTCTGCGGGTAGGCTCTAGAAACATAATAGGATTCGCTTATTGAAATAAAATGTTATTTTTATGATTGTTTCACCAAACTGAGCTCATTGGAAGACATCAAGATGTCATGTACAATTAGAATAATCTTTTCATGAATTAAGAAGGAATACAAATGCAAATACTACATTTCTGTTTAAAATTGTATGATATTATATATGTGCTATATATATAATGTGATATTATATATGATACAATATGATATATGGGATTTCCTTAGATATAATCTGGGATAATGGAGAATTGGGTGAGATTGTAGATGAAGCAATATTGGTCATGAGTGAATGTATGATTGTTCATTATACTACTCGTCTTACCTTTATATATGCTGCAAATTTTTCATGGAACAATTTAAAAAAATAAAACACTGCACATATAAAATGTGGCCATTTTACATTAATAAAATACTAATTTTATGGTTTTACAAAATGCACTGTTATTTCTCTTTTCCCTCTTATTTTGCATCTATTTTTTTTCTTCTTTTCCATAGTTCTCTGTGTTATATGGAACCAAGCTGGTGTTTCAGGAGCGAGCCTGGTATTTAGAACACAAATACTTGACCCCCAAGGCCAGCATGCAGATCAGGAGTCAGGTAAGGGTCCCTGGTATGTAGAAAAAAACATGTTTGCATGTGCTTTCATAGAAAATAGTCCTGTCAATCTTTTGTTCATTTTTACCTGTGGATTGTTCTACCTCTAAGAGTTCACATCCATGTTTTCCTTTACCTACCAAGATGACATTGCACTTCAGAGTTCAAAGCACAAGGAAGTGATTCACTCTGCATGAGCATTCTGACATGACTCTTGGAACAATAGGCGGGAAGGGAATCAGGTGTTTTTCTTGTGTTGGCAAGGGGAAAAAAGGCTGTATTATGTGTTCATGTTTCTACTTCTATGTCAATGGCAGTAGCAGAAATTCAATATAGTACCTACAAAACACCTGAAAATTAATGCCAAGCCAGTGAATCACCAACAAAATGCTACTTTAAAGAAAAAGAATAAACTCTAACTCCACCGCTATCGAATCAGTTCTCACTCATAGTGACCCGAAGGCTGTACATCTTTTCCAAAACCGAAGCTTGATTTTCCTCTGTCAGAGCAGCTGATTGACTCGATCTGCTGATCTTGTGGTTGGCAGCCCCACCGAGAACCCACTGCCCCACCAGGATGCTTTAAAGGAAAAGAATAAAAGCAGTGTAATCATAAAATAGACCTAATTTCTGAGTATCTCCTCTCTTCCGGCCTTCTGCTAGATGCTGAAAACACAAGCAAGCAAGTATGTGACTCAGAGTCCGCCTTCAAGAGGGCTCATTAAATTTGGCGACCCCAAACTGACTGTAGAAACACAGGACCAATCCCTCTTGTAGGCTTCCAGTCAACTTCCCAATGAGAGTTAGTTCCGAATTCAGAGGACAGGAATCCTTTAGGAGTGAATGAGGTCATTCTTGGGTTAGACTTGGAAGAGTAGGGAAGTAAGACCAAGTGGAGGTAGTGGCTCAGTTGTGAAGGGTCAAGGCCATGGAGCCTTCAGAAAGGGCTGATGGAGTGAACAAAATCAGAGGCACGAGGGTACATAGGACAGATATGTTAAAAGTAGTGAAAACAGATATGTTTAAAACATGGCTTCTCCTAGGGTCTCCACCCCGAATTCAGACTTCTAGCCTCCTAAACCATGAGAAAATCAATGTGTTCGTTTAAAAAAGAAAAAGATAGGAACAGTGACAAGACCAGTTTGGCTGAAGTCTCAGGTGGTATTCAAAACTGGGAGCAGTCTGCAGAGGCCAAACTAGGATGGGCCCTGAAGAACCTAGAAGAATCTTGCCTTTTCAGGAGACTGTAATTAAGAATAAAGCATGCATTAGGATGCTTCATTCTCTGTTGTTATGTAGCAGACAATCTCCAAATGTCACGATGTCAAACATTTAAGTCATCAACTATTTATTTCTCAGATTCTATATTCTGGGCAGGGCTCAGCTAGACAGTTCTTCTGTTGCACATAAAGTCTCCTGGGGCTTTGGGCCTGAAACAGCTTCTTCACTCATGTCTAGTGCCTCAGCTGAGTTGGCAGGATCAAATGGGGGCTGGCTGGACAACTTTATCTCTTCGTGTAGCCTAATGTGGGCTTCCTCACGGCATGGTTGTCATGGGGTGGCCAGCTGTTTTATACATTGGCTGCCTTCCAAACCAAAAAAAAAGAAGCCAGTCTTCTTTATAAAGCCCAGAACAAATGTGGTCTTTCTTCTACAGTATTCTGGAGGTCAAAGGAAGCTACAGGTCAAAGGTCAGGCCAAATTCCAGGGGACAGGGCTAGGGAAGGAGGAAACTGATGTCAGCTGTGGCATTATTATGATGATGTTGTCTATTGTTAATTTTAAAAACAAAATTGTTTTAAGGCAAGGGAAAAGAAAATAATTGCTGATTATATCATGCAAAGCCAATCACTATTATTAACAGCTTTTGATGTACATCTTTAATTTCAGGTATGTTTTCAGCATTAGAACCATATCATGACTGTTTTGTAACCTCTGTTGTTCTTTTTTTTTTAAATCATTTTATTGGGGGCTCATAAAACTCTTATCACAATCCATACATTGATTGAATTGGGCATGTTTGCACATATGTTGCCATCATTCTTTTCTAGACAATTACTTTCTATTGAGCCCTTGGTATTGGCTCCTCTTTTCCCCCTCTCCCCCCACCCTCATAACCCCGTGGTAGATTGTACATTGTTATTATTTTCATCTCTCACACTGACTGTTGTCTCCTTTCCCCATGTTTTCTGTTGCTCTTCCCGCTGGAGAGGAGTGTATGGTTATGTGTCGATCATTGCGATCGGTTCCCCCTTTCTTCCTTCCTCCCCCCTCTTCCCCCTGCCCTTCTGGTATCACTATTCCCACTCCTGTTCCTGGATTCTGTGTGTCATCAGCTCCATCTCTTTCTAGACCTGTGTACATGTTCCGGTCTAGTCTGAATTAGGAAAGTTACGTTTGACAAGCTTTTGTGTTACTAAAAATGTGACATTTTTTTTCCCATTAGTATAGAATTTTTATTTTAAATATATAAAGCCTGTTTAGACATGTTTAGGCATGGGATTTTCATATCATATCACACCTGTACAAGCGTAAGAAGGAAAATAAAAGCAGAAACTAAGCTGATTGTAGGATCCTAAAACAACGTTCCAATTATAGACCTTTTCTTTGGAATAACTTTTGGATTCATTCATCAACGTCTGTATTTTCCAACATAGACTTTCTTTTCCTTTTCAGCCCTTTTAATGCGCACGTGCGCATGCACACACACGCTTCTTTAAACTACCAAGACTATCGATCCTTCTTTGTTTAACTCCCTATTGCCCAATTCTTACTCACTGAGCTACAATCCGCTAGGTCGGTAGTTTGAAACCACCAGCCGCTCCATGGGAAAAAGATGGGGCTTTCTCCTTCCACAAACAGTTACCGTCTAGGAAACCCATCGTAGGGTTGCCATGAGTTGGCATCGAAGGGATGGCAGTGAGTTTTTTCGTATTGCCCAACTCCTAGTCCTTGCTACCTACTGAACATCTTTTATCTTAATAAATCTCTCTACACTACTAAAGGAGGGCTCCCACAATATTTGTCCTTTTGTGTCTGGCTGAAAGACAAAACAAACAACACTAGACGTACTGGTCAGGTAGAGAATGGTGGAATTTTCCAGGCTATGGTCTCTACTGCACTCACTCCTGGATCAGAATCAACAACCATTTAAGATCAAAGGGCAGCACTTCCCAAGGACAGAGCACAAAGAGTTAGGACAGAAGGAGGAATGGAAACAAAGTACAGTGCAAAATGGGGGAAGTGACGTTCTACTGAGGGGACTGCGGTGAATGAGTTGCAACAAAATGTGTAGGAATTGTTGAATTTAAGACTGATGATCAGCTTGTAAACCTTCCCTTAAACCACAATAAAAAGTTATTTAAAAAACAATTTGTAGGTAAGTCAAGACAAATGCATAAGATTCTTATGTGTTTGGCTTTATTTTACTGGAAGTGTTTCCAATCCTTTACAAATGCCCAGGCAGCAAGGGAAGGTAATTGTTATGAAGAATTTGTTGCAATTATGGATTCCGTAATCTCAAAGTCAGGGGACATTTAAGAGCATGGAGGGGTTGTCTATAGTCAAATATTTTGAATCCACGGTCTGACTGTATTTAATAACTTTTACTAGGAACCATCAAAGTACTTTCAATAGTGACTGTCCCATTTTGCCTTCCCATTTAATAATGGATGAAGACCCTAATTTTTCAACATCTTCATAATTTTGCTGTGTGTGTGTGTGTGTGTGTGTGTGTGTGTGTGTGTGTGTGTGATGGTAGCAGCTATGGTTTTGAGTCCGAGTGGCCTAGTGATTTCAAGTTGGGCTGACAACCAGGAGGTCAGCAGTTTGAAACCACCAGCTGCTCGGCTCTAGTAAGATGAGGCTTTCTACTTTCATGGCGAGTTACAGTCTCAGAAACCCTCAGCGGCCATCTCCCCTGCCCTATAAGGTCACTGTGAATCAGAATCGGCTAGATAGCAGTTGAGTTTGGGTTTTCACTCCTGTGAAGAGTTAGAGTCTGCGAAACCCACAGGGGCAGAACTACCTGTCCTAGACAGTTGCTATGAGTCAGAATTGACTTGGTGAGAGTGAGCTTTGGGTTTGGATAGACTAATGATTAGTTTGTCATATGTTGGTACCTTGCTTGTTGCTATGAGGGTAGACGTTATGTCACTGGTGTTTCAAATCCCAGCTGAACAACTTGTAGTGGAGCTTCCAGACTAAGGCTGAGTAGAAAGAAGGAAGGGGGTAGTCCTCTGCTGAAAGAGAGCATTATTAGAATAAGGTGACCAGATGTCCCGCTTTGGCAGGCCAGTCCTGATTTTTAACAATTTTTCCCGCGTCCGTAGCATTTTTAAAAAGTCCCAATTTTTGGAAAGAATGCACGACAAGCTAGGGTATATGGTTTTCAGCTGCCATGTGGCTATTTCACCAGGATATGAGTTTTATCAATGGTGTCCCGCTTTACCAATGTTAAAATCTGGCCGCCTTATATTAGAACCTAGAAAAGAAATTAGAACCTTTCTGATAGTGTGCCAAAAGAGGAGGCCCTCAGGTTAAAAGGCATTCAAAATACAACTGGGGAAGAGCTAGCTGCCTCTTCACAGCAGAGTGGTCCTCAGCTACGTGGACAGAGCAGTGCTTTGGGAACCTCCCCCTGCTGCTGTGGCACAACTCCAAGTGAGAAGAAACAGCCGCAGACATCCATTAATAATCAGAATGTGGAATGTATAAAATGCGAATCTAGGAAATGTAGAAGTTCTCAGAAATGAAATGAAATACCAAAGATCAGTCTTGCAGGCATTAGTGAGCTGAAATGGCCAGGAGATCTAAAGAAGGAGATCCTACAAAATGTGGAGGTGATTTAGCATATTGGTGATATTAAACTTATTTAAGATCATACCCACGGACCATATACTAAAGATAATTTTGAAACATTTGCAACGGTACATTGGCAGAGGACGATGAGAAATGCAAGCCAGATTCAGAAGAGGATGTGGAGGGAGGGCTATCCTTGCAGA